GGATCTCACGGTTATCACAAACAACTCAGTTCTCATTTGATTAAGCCCCTATATATATATATATATATATATATATATATAAAACACCAAATGTTATTTTGAAAAGTGCTAAATATTTGAGAAGTAAAGAAGTGATTCTAGCCCTTTATACGATCAAGATCGAATTTGATTGTTCGATAATTACGGCTTTAACTGGTCAAAAATTACGATTATGCGAAAAAAAGAGAGGGTAGTTTCATAACTTTTACAAATATATGACAAACGGATTCATATATGAACCTATGTGATTCACATATGAACTATATGTTCATATGAACTCGTGTAATTCATATATGAACTATTTTAACCGATTCACATATGAATCTTTATGATTCATATATGAATTAATTAACTAATTCACATATGAACATGCGTGATTCACATAAGAACTATTTAACTGATTCATATATGAACCTGTGAGTTCATATATGAATCAGTTAAATAGTTCACATGTGAACTAATTAACGGGTTCACATATGAACCCTTTTGCAGCCTATTTGTAAAAATTATGAAACTGCCCCTCTATCTTTCGCATACCATGCGAAGAATTATTCGGTGCTTCACGGTCATAACCGCAAATGTTGACCAGATGAAAGGTTATGATCACTTCTTTACCTCTCAATATTTAACACTTCTCAAATGAACCTTCCCCCCCCCCCTCTCTCTCTATATATATATATGTATATATATATATATATATATATATATATATATGGTTGGATTTTGGTGAGAAAGAGAATTAAAGTGAGAAGCATAATAAGAGATCTCCACCCTTGGATGCACATTAAGATGAGATGCACTGAGATGCATCAAAGTAATCCCTGTATCAAATGCGATTGATGTATGGGTTTAAGATTAAAGATGATCAAAGTTCCAGATCTCTTCTTATGCTTCTCACCTTAACTCACTTTCTCACACCAATTATTTGCCTATATATGTATGTATGTATGTATGTATGTATGTATGTATGTATGTATGTATGTATGTATGTATGTATGTATGTATGTATGTATGTATGTATGTATGTATGNTATGTATGTATGTATGTATGTATGTATGTATGTATGTATGTATGTATGTATGTATGTATGTATGTATGTATGTATGCATGTATGTATGTATGTATGTAAGTATGTAGGCATGCATGCATGCATGCATGTATGTATGTATGTATGTATGTATGTATGTATGTATGTATGTATGTATGTATGCATGCATGCATGTATGTATGTATGTATGTATGTATGTATGTATGTATGTATGTATGTATGTATGTATGTATATATAGGTGGTTTATTATACAAATTAACACATTGTTAGGAACCATGCAAACTAATCTCAACCATCTATCTAATCTAATAAATACGGGGTTTTATAAGTATCCCGATTATTTTCTAATATAAAGTGTTGATCATAATAAATGAATTCTAATAATCTTCTATAAATATTCATATTATAATAAATGAACTCTCATCATTTTTCATAAATATCTCCTTATAATAATCTAAAACTCAAAATATCCAAGTTTCAAATTAAAAGCCAAACTGGTAACAATTTCAATGAAGTATAAAAATTTATTAATACATCTCAAAAGTTTATAGCAGAAACATAAGAAATCCACAACTGAGAATTATTCAAAAATAAAGACAAAAGGAAACTAGTCGCCTTGACAACACCACTACAGTCACATCTTCCCCTTCCCTTTAGAGCTACTCTCAACTTGATACTTCCCTAAAAATGATTTCCATTTTGTAGAAAACGAAGATTAGACCATTAGATCTAGTGAATTCCCTTCAACACGTTTCAACATTTAAAAGAACAGTAAGAGTTATGAACCAACAATGGAAATACATCATATTCAATTCACCTTAGAGGAGATTCCCATTCCACGGACATTGCACAACATTTGTAGCAATCCCGTCACAATCCCCAGGACAAAAATAATAATAAACAGTCCAATGTGCTCAAGAAACAAAGACACATAGATCATAACTCCCAAGAGATATCACTACCTCAAGGTATCTTACGCTTGTTGTACGATTCCACACATCCCAGATAGCCATAGTTAATTATTTTCCTAAATCATCTTTGCATTGCTTTCTAGCCGTCAGACTCAGTCTTCTCTGCATATTCCGGTTGTTGTTGCCATTGTCGTCTCTCTCGTCGACGACACAAGAATTGCCAAGTTGGATTGATAATTGGTGTAAAATGCACACTAGATCGGGGGGAATGGGTCAACGACTCAGTCATGTCATGTAAATAATTATTTAACTTTAATTAATTAATAATTGCATCTACCATTAATATTTTTCATTGTTCTCGCTATAACTACATAGAGAGGATGACTGCAGAAAAAGAATCATTGATGCAACAACACGGATCTGACTCCTCGATGCCGGTAAACGAGTCACATATATATATCCAAAGTACTAGGAGAACATCGTTGTCACGGAACAGGGTGAGGACCGCAAGTTGAAGGGTGATTCGTCAGCCTCTATGTTTGACGAGTTTGAGTACACCACGCCACCTCAACGATCACTTACTAATGATCAAGTACGAGATATGGTCTCGAACTTTAGTGCATTTATTAGGCATAGCAACGAGACACTCATGACTCTGATTAAGATGATTAGGAATATTAGCCCGAATGCCCACATTCCAGATATTCGTACATTCTTTTATACCATGCCAGTAGTTCCACCGCCACCATCACCATCGCAGCAAAACGTCTAAGATGACTACGATGAGGATCTGAGAAATATTTAGATATTCATATTCACGTTGAATGTGTTGTTTTATGCAATTAACATTTGGGCTCGTTTATCAGTGGTTTATATGTTTCAATGTTTAATTTTTATTAATATTAAAATTGTGTTTAATATTTTAATAAATCGTGTTTATTATCGGTATTTGTCTATTTCATTATTGGTTTTTATTAATATTTTTTTGATTAACCTATATATCCAACCCGCTATACGAGCCGACTAATCCCACGACCACCTGCTTTGTAGATAGCTCGGAGTCACCGCATTTGAACCTCTGTGGCCACAAGGAGATTTTGATTAAAGAATTCATATTATTAGCTACTAAATGTCTATCAACAGACACAAGTACGTAATCAGTTGAATATTATAACCCATCAGAGTCAAATAAACCATCGTCGTTGATTGATAGTGTCAATTTAATTCAATGTTCTTATCACAATTAATATGTATCTTAACACTTATGTTTAGACTAAACGTAAACTTGGATGACTTTAATAATTTTGAATCGTTAAGCATCAACCACTAGTATTTTATCTTGTCGTTTGAAATTATATTGTAATAATCCGTTTAGAAATATGTTCAAACCATCCAACCCAAACCCTCAGCTCGCAATTCAAACCAGCTTTAAGGAATTTAGTTGAGTTAGGTTATAAATTTAAAAAAGATTAAATGGGTTATGATTTTTTAAATCGAAGTAATTAAGTTGGGTTAAGTTGTTCAAACCTGATCCGTAATACGTAATACATTCGTGACGCATTTAACTACAACACCATTTCTCCAACATGGAATTTTAAGTTTTTGACTTGACCTGCTAACGTCCTCTCCTTTCATTCCATTCTTGGTTAAAAGTCAACTTATAAGTCATAATTTCCATTGCCCTACTCCACCAGATTCAACTCTCAAGTGTCCAATACGTTCTACATTCCTTTTTTATTCGTTAGAGGATGTTTGAGATTGCTTATTTGAAACAACTTATGTTTTTTTTTATACAAGTGTTTATCAATTTATTATAAGTTAGAATAATTTAACTTATTCAAAAACTCTTTATTACCGGTATAAGTTGTTTATCCAAACACTCAAAAGTGCTTATTACCGGTGACACACCGTAATAAGTCAATAAGTTGTTTTTATAACATTTGGTTTTAATTAACGAAATGGACATCGTTGAAAATATTATTTTGGCGCAAATTATCCAAGACTTTAAAGCCGTAAAAGACCGATGAGTTTTACTATGATGAACGACGTTTGAGAATTTCATGTTTTTGTCTTGTTTTAAAGTTTTAACGTTATTATCTTTTAATAATGTCTTTTGTATTTTCTAAAATATATCCATTATAATTATGCTCGTTTAGTTCGTCCTTCTAGATTAGAAGGTTTGTGTTTCGTCAACTGATTTAAACCGAAACAAACTAAACTAATTTAGTATATTCCAGTTGAAGGTGAGGTCATGAAAAAAATATGATGTACATAGACTTGATATCTATATTAAGCATTAAAGATCCCAACTTATGTAAGATAAGCCGGAAAAAAGAGAGAAGAACATGAGTCGGAAAAGGAAGATATGCCTAAAATTAAGAAGGAAGTCGGTCTAGATAGAAGCAAACATCACAAACACACGATGCAGAAAAATAGCACAAACAAAACTATTACATGGTCCGAGTTATCTTAGAACTCGGGTGACGTATCTATCAACTCTTTAAGTTTACCCCCATCTACCTCACGAGCTTTGATCCTTCCATCTAAACTAGCTACATGTCCCTCTTAGAGGCGTCTACCAAACGCTTATCCGGGTAAGTGCTTACCAAGTCATGTTACCTCACCGGATGAATATGATAATTAAGGACCAACAATCTTATCAGGTAAGAATGAGACAAGAACCGAAAGTCTTACCCAATAAGTGAGGACGACGACTCTTACCACGGTAAAAGCTTACTGGGTAAATTGTTGCATATGATGTCGTTTTGCTGGACTAAAATCTTACCTGCAGGTAAGTAAATGATAGAGTTAAATTTTACCAGGTAAGTGTTTGGTAAACGGCCCTTTGATCTCGTATCCTAATCTTGTGTCTAAAAATTCTTGTGTCTAAAAATATACTAGTGTTACAAAACATGTATTTTTATTTTATTATTATAAAATTAAAATTAAAATAAAAATAAAAATAAAAAAAACTGATTTTTGAAATAAAAAAAATTGCCCTCACTCCTCCGCTATCCTTTCAAGCTTTGTAAACATCCGCCGTTTACCACCGTGACTGTGGTTGCCACCACCACCACCTCCACCTCCAACCCTACTCCAGGAAGATGTTATCATCTCTGATGGACTCTCGGGCATAATCACATCAATCTCATTATCCGCATCACTGAACACCACCGGATCAACCTGTATAACACAGCACCCGCATCTCACCTTACCACTACTAACCGTAATTGCCCTCCCGGCTTTAACCGCCAGAGAAGCCATATCCTCCGCGGCTAACCGCCTATTCAACCAGCTCAATGGAAGCTCAAAGTACAGCTGACCCAAACGAAGATACTCCTCCCCATTCATGGCGGTAAGGTAGTGATCAAAATCCATCTCATCCGCGTTGCAAATGAAGGAGCACAGATCATTCCCTAAATCTAACGGCGGTGCCACCAGGAACACCTTCATCGGCGACGGAAATTCTCTAAGTTCGCCTTCTAAGAGGATGAGTTTGACCGTGGAAGGGCTGGTAATGGTGCCGGTGGTGGCAAAGTAGCATGAGCTGCAAATCCCCATTTGAATTTGTTGAGAAGACTAAAAGAATGGTGTTTAATTTTTGGAATGAATTTTTTGGTTGACGTCGTTAACGACGTCCTTTTTGGCTCATTTATTTGTTTTCGTTTCAAACGAGGGCGACTTTGGCATCTTCGTCCATTTTTCCCAAGTTAGTTTCCAATTTTTGATTGATAATAACTAAATAAATAAATATTAATTATAAATAGTTAATATATATAGAGAAAGAGGTTGGTTATTATACAATCATTGACATTTGTGCAACTAATACAATCCAATCTCAACCGTTTATTTCATTTGATTAATTTGTGATTTTATAGAAGTTTTGATTGTTTTCTAATATAAAGCATTGATCATAATTAATGAACCATATTCATCTTCCATAAATATTCAAATCATAATAAATAAACTCTTATCATTTCTATAAATATCTCAATTTATTGGGTTGCATTGGTTGTACAAATGCGACGGGTTGTATTTGAAACAAACTCTATAGAGAAATTCGTTAGGAACCTAAAATTGATTAGCAATCCCCAGACGTTCCCCACTTTAGAATGAATATTCAAATAACGCATTTACGATGAATATAAATGTGTTATTCATCATTCTTTTTTTTTATCTCTATACATATTTGGTCAGGGTATTTTTTTTTTGAAAAATCTAGAAAAATGAAAACGAGATATAAAATTTGGAAGTGCGGTTGCTTGACATTGTGGTATGAATCACATATTCATGGTGAATAGTATGTTCATGTTCCTAACGAATATGTCATGTACAGTCGTGTTATGGATGGTCCCTTGGTTCCTAATCAATTGTAGGCTCTTTTAGTAGTGTGTTGGGGCAACACTACTATATCAAAGGACTTCTGTTTACAGAATTTTTTTGGGAAATCTATTTCTAAAAGATGATCCGTCACAAAACCGTCACAAAAGTTGATGGGTAAATTGTTGGTAGGTAATTCAAATCAGTGACAGATTACCCAGAGATTCTCTGAGTGGTCCATTAGTATTTTCTCGAAAAACATCAAATTTTATCGAACCATTGGTATATTCAAGGTGATCCGCTGCTAAATACAAACGGAAATTTCCCTAAGTGATTTTTGTAGGTGAAAGTCATTTATTTTGTATGTGACATTCAAAATAAAAATGATCGATATTGTGCGAAGAGACGAAAGGAGGTTAATGGAAAGTTCATATGTGAATCGCTGAAAAAGTTCATTTCAAAATGCATATGTGAACGCATATGAATACTGTGTAATATCGGTTTCTCATATTATAAAAAAAAAAATTACCTATGGGTATATTTAACTTTTTAAGCCTTTGAGATTATAGTTTTGCTTACCCAACTTTTGACCTAGGTGAAATAATAAGTGAGGGGGAGAGCATAAGCGTGATGGAGTCCAACGACCTAGTGCGGATGATTTTGACTGTGTTTCATGATGTGAATTTGAATCAGAAGGTAGTAACAACTTTAGGAGTTCAAGCATCAAATAAAGATAAATGTTCATGTAAAACTTGTGTTTTATTACTTCATTTTTAACAAGTGATGTGGATGAATCACTTGTTACGTTATGAAGTCAAAGCAGAAACCAAAACACCGCTGATTTGGTCAAAGAATGACCTAACACATTATTGTTGGAAAACAAAGGTAGACCCATGCAAGGAACCAAATGCATGATTGTTGTAGTTGTGGGTGTTTAGGGTGTGTTTGGTACGTTGGACAGGGTGAGACAGGACAGAACAAAACACAATTGTCCTATGTTTGGTGTGGCTTTATGTGGGACTAACTAGAACTAACTAGAACAAGGGTGGGACACGGTAGTCCACCCTTTAGCCCTGGAACTAAGTAGAACAAGAAATTTTTTTACCACTTTACCCTCAATCCCTTCCACCGTCTCCTTCATCCCCTTCACAGCGTCGCCTCCATCGATCGAACCGTCTCCTTCATCCCCTTCCACCGTCTCCTTCATCCCCTTCA